TGAGGAGGAATTAAAGAACCTCTTAATGAGGGTGACAGAGGAGAGCGGAAAAAATGGTCTGACGCTCAACATCCAAAAAACTAAGACCATGGCCAATGTTCCTATCACCTCCTGGCAAATAAAAGGGGAAGATATGGAGGCAGTGACAGATTTTACTTTCTTGGGCTCCGTGATCACTGCAGAGGGTGACAGCAGCCACGAAATTAAAAGACACCTGCTTCTTGGGAGGAAAGCCGTGACAAACCTAGACAGCATCTTAAAAAGCAGAGACATCACCTTGCCGACAAAGGTCTGCATAGTCCTTTGGTATTTCTTGTAGTGATGTATGGAAGCGAGAGCTGGACCATAAAGAAAGCTGACTGCTGAAGAAGTGATGCTTTTGAATTGTGCTGGAGGAGGTTCTTGAGAATCCCCTGGACTACAAGGAGAACTACCCTATCAATTCTAAAGGAAATCAACCCTGAGTGCTCACTGGAAGGACAGATCCTGAAGCTGAGGCTCCAATACTTTGGCCATCTCATGAGAAGAGAAGTCTCCCTGGAAAAGACCCTGATGTTGGGAAAGTGTGAGGGCAAGAGGAGAAGAGGACAACAGAAGATGAGATGGTTGGACAGTTTCATCAAAGCTACCAACATGAATTTGACCCAACTCTGGGAAGCAGTGGAAGATAGGAGGGCCTGGCATGCTCTGGTCCATGGGGTCACGAAGAATCGGACACGACTAAACAACAACAGCAAATATATTTATAATTTTTTTTTAAATCTGTTGTTTCATCTGTTGTAAACCACCTCAGGTCCCGCATGGGTAGAAGGGCAGCATATAAATAATTTAAATAAATCTCTCTTGCTTTGAAATGTTCACTCTACATGCGGTCAAGTCAGGACTGACTTGTACTGACAAAAGGGCATTCAAAGTATGTGAGGTATTTAAAGAGTGGTTTTATGAGTGCCATTTCACCCAGAGTTTCCATGACCAAACTGGGATTGACACCCAGGGTCTCCTGAATTTTAGCCACTCACCCTATCCATTACACCACCCTTATTTATATTTCAGTAAATCAGTAAACCACAACTGCTCCACATCTCCTTCTGTTGTTTTTGCAGTCACTGTGGTTTTCTTAAATGTTCTTTGTATAGATGACATACCTTGTTGCCCAAATTTTGGGAGGGGGGTGTCCCCAGGCCTGTTGGCTTCTCTGCTCTTTCCTACCATGATGGTGGTAGTTGGGAAGATAAATTCACAAATATTTCAAAATGTTGCATTTATTGAATTTGTTTGTCTTGCTGAGGAAAATAGATCTTTAGCTGTGTTGTCCTGCTGCAGTCTTGGGTAACCATGTATTATTGGACTGCATCTCCCAGAAGCCTTCATCACTAGCTGTTCTGGCTGGGGTTTCTGGGAATTGTAGTCCAAGAACATTTGGGTTACCCAAGGTGAATAACCACTGGTATAGAACACAATAATTTCTGTCAGAATAACTGACAATGGAAATAAATGTCTCTCTCTCTCTCTCTCTCTCACAATGGAAATAAATTGGCTCTCTCTCTCTCTCTCTATGTATTGATCAAGAGCTTGTCACGACTATTCTGTCAATATCATATTTGCAAGAACAAGAGCTTGTCACAACTATTCTGTCAATATCATATTTGCAAGAAAATTATATTGTACACAATCTTGTTAAAAGGCTGAGGAAAGCAGTCAGTCCTATCTCCTGTCTGTGTCTTTTGTTCTCTCCTGCACTTCTGAGGCCTTTTTTAAATAGGCATTTAATGTGTCATTATGAAGTGGAAGAGAAATTATAATTTAAGTATTTATAATAAAATGGTAATCACAAAATAAATGGAGATTGGAAAGAAATTTAAGCTTTGCTTAATTATATGTTGGCAAATGATAAGAACAGAGCTAATGCACATTTGAATTAGGTGTTAATAGAAAGAATTGTAGGCTGGAAAGCATGGGTGTACACCTCAAAGGATTAATTTTTGTATATTTCACAGTCTGTGGAGAAGAAATAAAAGGCCTTGTTTTAGGAGATTATGTCCGAAGATTCAAATAAAGAAAAGCAGCAAGTGGAAGTATTAACAGATGATTATTACAATTCGGTATGCTTTTTCCTCAGTTTTATACTTTCTTCAAACATGTATTACCTATGACTACTTACCAGAGGTTAAACACCTGAATATAGTCCTTATAAGTTTACATTGCACTTGTATAGTAGTGTACAGTATATCATAACAGTAATTATTTGTGTCAAGTAATATGTACTTTATCTGCTTTATTGCAGTGTGTTACTGCTGTCACATTTTATTTTCTTTGTCCCTGAGTACAATGTATTGTTTAAATACATTGTACTCAGCTCTGATAAGGGAACTATCATGAAGTAAGTTACATACCACTGAATTTAACACTGCTGTGATACACCCTATTCTTTTTATGTTTCACTCTTAGTGCATGGCTGTGTAAGAATTTACTTGTCACTTTTAAAAAGGGGGCTGGGCTAAACATTGCTACTGACTACTGTATTAAAGAACATTTCTAGCCACTTTAGTCTGAGATATCCTCTTCCATGGAAATCTCCCAGTTTTACAACAGGGGTTATTCTGCTTTAGGAGTTAAAATTTCTCCTAGAGATCAATTAATTCCATCAAATATTTTAAATGTACTGTATGGACAATTCAGGCAAGCAGGTAGTATTGGAAATTAGTTACACTGTAGGAAATTTACTTGGTATATAGATTAGGCATTATTTTCTATTTTGATCACAGCCCAACATCCCACACTACTATGCTCTTTGTTCAGGTTACACCAGGATTTAATCTGATAAATGCTTGTACATTGTCTTTAACAATGTATCTGGTTTTGTATTTTACATGCTTCCTTTTGTGATAACACCTGATTCTTTTTTGTTTCATTCTTATTTAGTGTGTGGTTATCTAAAAATCCAATTGTCTCTTTTTTTAAAAAAGGCTAAAATATATCCGATCTGCAGATTTTAGATGCACTCAAGTCTTCAAACAAAATACAGCAGTTATGTATTGCACACTTTGTGCCTGCTCTGAGTTAAATCATGATTACTGAAACCATGGTGCACCCCTACAGCACCTAAGGAAGGGGACTGGCTGTTCCATCTATGTGTTTTTAAAAAAACAAATAACCACAGATATATACACTCCCTTCCAGATCATTTTAGTACACAGGCTAAATTGCAGGTGTCCACATGGTTTGAAGCTGCTACTGTGACAAACAGTCAGACACACATACTTTTTATTAGAAAATTATAATAATCCTGACAGTCAGACACGCATACTTTTTATTAGAAAATTATAATAATCATTGTTAAGATTATTCCTTATACAGTGGTGCCTCGCTTAGCAATCGCTCTGTTGAGCGATGAAATCGCTTAGCGATGGGGTTTTGGCCATCGCCAGAGCGATTGCTTAGCAATGGCCCCTATGGGGAAAATTCACTTTGTGATGATTGCGGGGAAGCGATCATCGCAAAGCCCCCATTTTCGGCCAGCTGATCGGCGGTTCCAAAATGGCCACCGGAAAAACAAAATGGCCACCCGCTGTTTTGCCTCGCTTTAGAGGCACCGAAAATGGCTGCCCCTATGGAGGATCTTCACATAAGGTCAGTTTTTAAGCCCATAGGAATGCATTAAACACGTTTTAATGCGTTTCTATGGGCTTTTTTATTCCATTTAGCGATGAAATCGCTTAGCAACATTTTTCCTGGAACGAATTAACGTCGCTAAGCGAGGCACCACTGTACTCCTTTCTCTTGAGGTAAAAATGACAAAATGTAGGCTGTGGGCATGTAATACTTTGGACACATTATGAAAAGGAAAGATTCTCTGGAAAAGACAATGCTGGGAAAAGCTGAAGGCAGAAGAGGAGGAACAAATATGAGATGGATTGATTCCCTCAAGAAAGCCACATCCTTGAGTTTACAAGAGCTGAGCAGGGCTGTTGAGGATAGGATTTTTTGGAGATCACTCATTCATGGGGTCACCACAAGTCAGAAGCAACTTGATGGCATGTAACAACAACAATTATGTTTACACAATTCAGAATGCTCCATGTGACATATGTAAGGTATGATTAGCTAATCTGGATTTTGCAAGAAAAAGAGTGACTTTTCCTCTGTTGTATTTTTATGTATTTTAGGATGAGGATCCTTTCAGCCAGTTTTTAACAGAAGATCTTGAACAGTGTACATTTTTCACAGGTCTGAATTTTTTTTTTCACTTGTTAGTAGGGAACTGGAATATACATGGATTGCATACATACTAGGCATAATATTACACTGTACCTTCTTTACAGGGGCTGGACTCGAGCCATAGGGCCCCTTTCAGGTCTACCTTTTATAAAATGATTATTATGATTATGAACTGCCTTGATAGATGGTGGATTCTCCTTCATTGGAGGCTTTTAAGGGGAGGTTGAATGGTGATGAGCCAGGGTTGCTTTCATGGTGGATTTCTTGCTTCTTTAGAGAGCAGTTCTTGATGGTCTTTGGGGTCCCTCCCAGTTCTAGAATCTCATGATCCCATGATTCTGTTCTCCTATATTTTTATGATGATGGTGATATGAGGAGAATTACTTGCGGGGGGTGGGGGGGAGGGAGATAGCCATGAGGGCATGTCTAAATTCACATTTACAAAACTGTAGATGTTCCTAGAAATAAAGAAATAATAAAGCTGACCAAAGATCATGGTTTCTGAAAGTTATGTATTTGCTTTGATATCCAATTTTGTCCATGTTACTCTGGGCCAAGTTATAATTTACCATAGCAGTATTGCTGCTGCTGCTGTAAGGTTGAATTGTATGACATACTGATAACATCCTTATATGTAAACTATGGCAGATAGAATAGTGCCATGGATTTTTTTTCAATTGTATTGGACAAATGTACTGTCTAATTTGAGTTAGATAACCCCAGGACAAAAATGATTTGTGTCTTTTCCTCTGTAATCTTACAGATTCTTTTTGTGAACAATTGTTGCCACGAACCACACAGATTTTATTGGAATATAACTCAGGGAAATGGGTGCCACGACTTCGTGAACCACGAGATTTATATGGCCTGTCTCCTGCAGGACATGTACACTTAGTACGCTGGCCCCATCAGTATGAAGTAATCAGAGACAGAATCGAGCACATTGGTAAATAATAAAATGTTTATGCCATTGTGACATTTATAGTGGTAGTAATTTTTGATTAACACTTTACTGTTGTTGTTTTTGTTTTTGTGTGTGGGGGTCATAATAGACTGTTCACCATCTTTGCAGCAACCAATTCAAGGCCTAAATCCTATAGCATAAATTATGCTTGTGTAAAGATGATAGCATCACCAGTAGGGGGAGATCATTCACTGGTAATGAAAAAGTTCTTTGATTTTTGGGGTTTGCATAACTCACCTGCAGTCAGTCACATTGCATAGGTTCAAGTAAGCCTCAGGCCTCAAGACCAGCAGTGTCTCCCTGCTAGATTACATGAATGGCGGCAGCAAGTTGCTGGTAATTAAAGAGTTCCTGCGTCATTCTCAGGGTTTGCCCGGCTTGCCTGTGCTGAGACTGATTATGGACAAGTTGGAGATGAGATGTGCAAGACCTGAAATGGAAGGAACAGCTCTTTAATTATTTGCAGTCTTCCATTGCCAATGATGTGATGGCCTTACATGGCCTTAATTTATGCTACAGGATTTTGTCCAAAGAATGTTTAGCTGATTGATTACCAAGCTTTGATTCATTGATGAAAAGTAAACAAATCTGCAAAACATCTGTATAGGTTCTTTGGTAATATGAAGGAAATGTGCAGTGTTACTTTCACTGTCAAAAAGGGAAAGCTGTTTCTAATATTACAGTAATGGACCATAACCTAAATGTCCTGGAAAATGACGTTATTTGCCCATGGCTGGCCCTGGACAAGGAGTGTCTCCTCCTCCTTCCACACCTTCCGTCATCTTAAAGTGTTCCTTTTACTGGGAATGGAAATTAGTATGGAAACTCCTTCCCTCATTTCCATTGTTTTTGTTCTCTACATGCAAGGGTGATTGTTTGTAGTGGGCAGTCTCCTCTGTCTGTGCAATCTGGAACATTGACTAAAGTTGTGTTAAAGAAAGAAAAACACATTGGCAATAAGATGAAAGAATTGTTTGTACCTATCATTGTTAGAGAAAATTTTGGACAGGTTCTTGTGCCTGCGATGACTTTCTCAGGGTAGAGATCTAAAGAACTGAGGATGAGTGTCAAGAAATGATGTAACTTGGAGACAAACTGACAATTAAAAAAAAATAAAGAAGCAAGTATCTACCTAAGAGCTACTAAAGGTGTACTAAAGAAGTGCTGGATTGCCAGCAAAATTGTGCACCTTGTATTCAGGTACTGAATACTGCCCCATATAAACTTACAATCTTTATTTATCACTTTACAGCTAAGATTCAGAAGCTGGGAGATAGAAAATAGTCATTTCAAGAGCCAAATCTGATGTGACTTCAGTTCTACTTGAGTTGGGCACCAATGATTATTTTTTTGTTCTGTATTATTGAATTAATTCATTTTGTATTACGAATTAAAACTTAGTCCTTGGCTAGACAGCTGAATTGGAGCAAGCTGTAACAGGCTAAATAGGATCACCTAAGAGTTGTGTAGAGGTCTGATATGCTATTTGGTGAAATCCTTACATCCACATGGCAAATGTACCTCAAGCAACCTTATTTGTCCCTCCTCCCAAAGAAAGAAAACAAAACAAAAGTAGCTGCTCATTTATATTTGATGTGTGAGATCTCTTAATACTAAGCGTATCCATAGCAAGATATAAGGGTGTCCTGATCACCAGGGAGAGTTTCCAATGGACAGTGCAGTGTACATCAGATAGTCTACCCTGCACCTTCTAGGCTGGTCTGTTTCTTTCAGGTGCATTTGAGGCCTCTGTCATGTCACTGGTGTTGAAGCTTCAAAAATAGGTGGGGGCGGGACAGGGCATGATATTTTTCCCCCTCAGGCAGTGAAATGTTTTGGTCCTAACAAGTCAATTATAGATGATTGCTACCAAATGGTAGTGGAGTGTTAGCAACAAGGTGAAGAAAACAGAAACCCAATTTCTTACACATCTTTTGTGGGAAAAAGTTACATGATCAGAAGCCTACGTGTTGTGGCAAAGTTCAATTCATTTCACTGGATATTTCATGCTGAGTCCTATAATTTAGCAACAATTATTATAGAGCTTTTCCCATGCTGGTCCCATGCTGACACCTTCTGGCAAAGCCTACTTCTGTTACCAGAAAATAATTTCTAGGATAGATCCTTTAATAATCTGGAAGAAATTACAGAAATCATGGGTTTGACAACTAGAATGCATTGTTTTTAACTCCAATAGTTTCTCCTTTAGTATAAACTTCTTTCCTTAATATAGGCAAACTCTTATCAGTGTAATCTGTCAGTGAGACTACAGTTACATGCTTAGCAACATAGGCTGGGACTTTAAAGAAGTTTCTGGTTTTTCAGTTGGCTCATACACAAAACAATATTCTTTTGTCATTCTTTACAAATCACCATGAACATGGATGGTCTCATAGTAGTATGGTAATAACAACAGCGACAAAAATTATTCTTAAATCATTCATTTTTGTATTACATTTCTGCCCAAGGTGACTGAAGGAGCTAAATATAACAGAAAGATCACAATTAGAGATGGGCACGAAGCTAAAATAAACGAGGAGAGTCATAAAAAATCGCTAATTTGTTGGTTCGGATCAGTTCAGGTTCATCCAAACTGGAGAACCTGAACTTTCCTGAACTAATTTTGAGGTGATTTACAACCCCCCTGGTTCATCGCCCCCCACAGTCATGAACCCCATCCTACTGCTCCCTATTCCTGCCACTGCCTCCTCTTCCTCAGCTGCTGCCACCATCTTTAAGAGCCCCACTGCATACTGGGGGCCATCTGCCATATCCCCACCTCTCAGCTGACAAGTGGGGACATGGGCAGATGGCCCTGGGCAAGCTAACAGGCTGGCTAACTTTTAAAAAAATATTACTATTTAGTTAGCTGGCCCATCAGCCAGCTGGGGGTGATCTGCACATGTCCCTGCCTCTTACTTGGTAAGAGATGCTACCTTAAAGAGTGTGAAGTTTCTTTGGCAGGGAAACTCTTTAAGTAGCAGCATCAAACCTTGCCCATGCATTTATTGTCTCTTAATCATGTTTTATCTGATGTTTTGTGTCTTCAGGATTTTTTTTCTATTAAAGGGCAAAACTTCATCATGATATGTTATCATAATTTACAGCCATAGCACACACCACTATTCCCACTGAGTCATTGCTCACCCAAAGATCATCCAAAGCTTCTGCGTTGGTAGAGTTATAGGTCCTGCCTTGAACAAGCTGCATGGTCCAAGAACACCACTAGGATAGAACCAACATGATGGCATTACAATTAATTAACCTTTGAAGCATTGTACAAAGCCCCGAGGAATCTGAAGAGAAGTTTATTGCATGTAGGAAAGAGTAGTATTAAAAATATGTATGATTGTGCAACAAATTGTTCTGAAGGTCTCATTTATTTGTTGTTCTTTTAAAGTTTAAAGCTGTCCTTGGTGGTCTGACATATCTGAACATATAAACTTAGCAATTCCAGTTAAAGATTAATGTCTTCTCTCTTTTTCTCCAGAGTGGGTTCCACCTCAGCCGGAGCCATTGTATACCCCAACAGGTCTGGAGGCTGAGCCACTCTGTCCAGAGCCTAGTGAGGGTGCTGTGGTATATCTAGCTGATGAAGGTTTGACTGCGTTTTATTCGAAAGTATCTCTAACATAATTATTTGTAGTTTTAGGGTTCAACATTATTTCACCATTCCACCGTGCATACAATACTACCTTACAGAAAGAAGGGCAAAAAGACAATCAAAACCAATATGAAAATGGAGATGGGATCCATTACTTCTCTCTCTCTCTCTCTCTCTCTGAGGAAGGGCAAAAAGACAATCCAAACCAGTATGAAAATGGAGACGGGATCCATTACGTCTCTCTCTCTCTCTCTCCATTTCTTGTACTGAACAGAGTTTCCATTGTTTTGGGTTTTTTTTTCAAAAATGAAAAAATTGTATTCCTGCTACTTGTCCACTGGTTTTACTGTTTAATATCAGTACTTTTATTTCTGTTTTGTATCTGGCTGTTTACCATTGTGAGTCCCATTCTGGAATTTAATGCATACTTTACCTTGAGCACTTCCTAGAAGAAGGATATTAAAGATATAGCAGACCTTTTTAATCATAAAAGAATGATACCAAATCCTACAGTGTAGTGTGATTTCATGTATCATGATACACACATGTTAAAAGAAGAACATTGGAGCCATCATGGGCCACCAAATGTGTTTTCTGCAAAACAACAGTACACATACTAATGCTGGAGCACAGAAGCTGTCTAAGTAATGCAAGGTTTTCATAATAACTAGCAAGAATTCAGTCTTTGTACTCTTGCAAATGTGACAATATTTTTTCCTACAAATGCTACCAGCCGTAGATTATCTTTTTTTAAAAATAGTAAAACTAAAATACAAATTCAATAATAACTTCATACAATACATTCACCCTTGGGACTAGGTGACCAGAAGTAACATTCACCCTTGGAACTAGATGATCAGAAGTATCAGTTTATATCCCTTTTCCCTGTACCTCTCCAAAATTACATTGCTTCTTTTGCTTGCACGTAGCCTTTCCCCCTCAAAAAAACATGCTCCAAATATGAATTCCATACATCTTTGAAATCATTAGACTTTATCATTCCTCTTCTTATTTTCATTTCACATGTTAACTTATCATTAATTGCTAAGCTCCACATTTCTTTATACAAATCTCCAAGATTAATTTGTTTGTTGCTTTTCCAATTCTTTGCAAATATTAATCTTGCAACTGTAACCATTATAACAATTAACTCTGTTTTGTTTTGTTTTTAGACGATTATTTTTAATTATATTTACAAGGGCAATGATATCTGAATATCATATCCAGTAATTTCTCTAATTTCCTTTAAAACCAGTTCCCATTCTTTCTTTATTTCACATGTCCACCACACATGCATATAAGTCCCTTTTTCCCAGCCATGGAGTATCCATCTGCCTGTCATATTTCAGCATGTTACTGGTAAATTTGGTCACTCCATTATTTATCCTTAATCCCATGTCCTCCGTGTCCATCAATTTACTATCAGTGACAAATTTCCTATAAACAAATACATTTTCTCCTTTGGGAAAGTGGACACTTCGTTTCAATTATGGTGGTACTTAGGTTTCTTGATAGGAGTGATGGATGGGACACAGGATACAAAAGGATGAGACCCACTATTCAAAAGACTGTTAAAGCATTGTCAGTTTCTTGCTCATTTAATCAATGATTATAATAACATATACTTTTCATACCTTGTTCCTAAGAATTATATTTATGTCACTGAAGTCAGTAGGACTCTACAATTATATTGAACATAAGAACATGGCATAATTGTTTTTATTATTATTAATTATTAATTATTATTGGATTGTTTTTTTTTATTGTTTCTACTGAGAGTTTACCCATCTACATAAAGACTGGGAATGGAGAAAATATGTAATTTTGAACAAGTTATTTCAAAATATATCTGGTTACTTCATAAACTGGGAATGGAGAAAATACGTAATTTTGAACAAGGTATTTCAAAATATATCTGGTTACTTCATAAGAAATGTATGTACTACACAAAGTCTTTGGGGGGGGAGGGAATTAAACAGAAAAGTAATTCATAATTGAATAATAGTAATGACACATTTTGTTCCTCCCAGTAGCTGGTAAGGATTCCAGCTTTATGTGTTCTCGTATAGGAGGCAGCTGCCCATCCAAGCAGGTGCTTCCTCAGTCCTGGGATGACTGGGATAATACCTTAATCTTCGAAGGACGATTTGAAAGTGGGAATCTGCAAAAGGTAGTCAAAATGTAAGTTGCTCATAATTTTCTTTTTTGCTTTCTAAATATTAGTATCTGTCTTGGTAGGCCTTGAATAACAATTGAATAATAAGTATGTGTTGTCAAGGCAATTCTGCCTTATGGCAACACTTTCCAGGGTGTCCTAGGTAGAAACTACTCAGAAGTGTATCTGGAAGTTGAGTCATGGCAACTGGACTTCTTTCTTGTTAGGTTGAAATGTTTCACTACTCATCCAAGTAGCTTCTTCAGTGTGAGGAGAGATGGTAGGAGATCCCTGATATATCCTCACTACTCATCCAGGAAGCAGCTACTTGGATGAGTAGCGAAACATTTCACCCTAACAAGAACGAAGCCCAGCTGCCATGACTCAGCTTCCAGATAGCCACGCCTGGATGTCTAAGAATCTTCACAGATACTCAGAAGTGGTTTACCATTCCCTTCCTCTGGGGACACCCTGGGATTCTACAGCTTGCCCAGGGCCACACAGACTGAGTAACAGATAGGAGAATTCCAATCTATCAAGGGAAAATGTGTAAAGTTAGATATGTAACTTTTTTATTAATTAATTTTTATTAATTTATAATGTTTTTAGATTATAGGAGAATTCCAATCTATCAAGGGAAAATGTGTAAAGTTAGATATGTATCACTGTACCCAAATGTCTGCCAATATAAATTATATTAACAATTATGTTCTCCCCCCCCCATGTTCCAGTAGTGATTTTGACTACTACCCAAATGTCTGACAATATAAATCATATTAACAATTATGTTCTTTTCCCCCATGTTCCAGTAGTGATTTTGACTACCAACTGACTCTACGCACTGATTTGTACACAAAGAAGCACACACAGTGGTACTACTTCCAGGTCACCAACACTCAAGCAGGAATACCTTACCGTTTTACCATTGTCAACTTCACCAAGCCAACAAGCTTGTACAATCATGGTATGCGTCCATTATTGTATTCGGAAGCAGAAGCGAAGATCCACAAAGTGGGGTGGCAAAGGACAGGAGATGAAATCAAGTATTATAGAAATAACCGTAGCCAAGATGGACATCAGTATTTTTCCTTGACGTGGACATTCCAGTTCCCACATAATAGAGATACCTGCTATTTTGCTCACTGCTATCCTTACACCTACAGTAACTTACAAGACTACCTGTCTGCCATTGCTACAGATCCAAAGCGGTCCAAGTTCTGCAAGATCCGCATCTTATGCCATACTCTGGCGAGAAACATAGTCTATGTTTTAACCATCACCAACCCCTTGCAAGACTCCAAAGAAGAGAAACGGAAAGCAGCAGTGATTTTGACTGCCAGGGTGCACCCAGGTGAAACTAACAGTTCCTGGATGATGAAGGGCTTTCTGGATTACATTCTGGGGGATTCAAGGAGTGCCCAGTTGCTCCGAGACACTTATGTTTTTAAAGTGGTACCAATGTTGAATCCAGATGGTGTGATTGTGGGGAATTACCGGTGTTCTTTAGCAGGCAGGGACTTGAATCGTAATTATAAATCAGAACTCAAGGATTCCTTCCCTTCAATCTGGTACACGCGCACCATGATCAAAAGGTAAAAAGGTAACATCAGTTTTCCTCTCTGTTTAGTATTGCAACTCTTTGTCTATTATTGGCCCATGATTAATTAACACATGGCCTGTCTTCAGCCTGTTCCATTGAATATATTTTTAGTTCAAAGATGCTTGAATGTTCGATTAATGTAGATTCTGTTTTATTGCTATGATCCTTTGTGATATGTGGGAAAACAACTTCTGGCAGAGAAAACAAAGGAAATGCCTTCACTTTTAGCTACGAAGAGGGCTTTGCGCCTCCTCCTCCACAAAGTTCAGTTCCTTCCTGTCAATGGTGTTTTTCATGTGAAAGTTCAGTTCCCTTATACTTATTATTTAAAACCTCTATGAAATACCAAAGTTACCTTCCCTATCTGACAGTTTCCAGATGTGTTCAAATCCTGCAGTCCACTTGTTCGCTGGGTATCACAGAATAATGGAGTTGGATTGCCGACCCAGGGGAGATAACCTGGGGCCACCCTCTCAGCTCCAAGTCCAAATTAAACCCCACACAATACAGTGGTGCCTTGATTTACGAACTTAATCTGTAACAGAATGGTGTTTGTAAGTCAAAATGTCCGTAAGTCAGAGCACCATTTCCCATTGAAATGCATGGGAACTGGATTAATCTGTTCCAGCATTTCAAAACAACAACAACAACAAAACAAAAATAAACACAGCAAGTGCCACACTGGGACTGCAACCCCCCCCCCACAAATCCAAAAACAAAACAACACAGAAAATCCCCCCCCAGTCCAAACCCACCCTCCAAAACCCACCTAGAACAGTTTTTTAAAAAAGGAAAAGGATCTTACCAGTCTGAAGCCTCCTGGGCTTCCACCGCTGCAGCGACCTCCACAGCTGCCCGGCCCGGGCTCCACTGCCTGGCCAGGATGGGTCCTCACCTCCCAGCCAGGCTCTTGCTCCACGCTGCTTGCTTCCCGGCCGGGCTCTGGGAGGCAGAGCCCAGCAGGGAAGTGAGCAATGGGAACGGAGCCAGCGCCGGGAGCAAAAGCCCGGCCATTTGAATTTCCCGGGCTCCGGCCTCCTGGCACTGGCTCCATCCCCAGTCCTCACTTCCCAGCCAGGCTCTGCCTCTCCGGGAACCGGAGGGGGGATGGGGGCAAAATGTTAAAGCCCTACTTTTTAATATGCCATTCCATCTTGTCTAGCTTAGCTCTGAGTCCTCTCAACGATCAGGAGCTAAGAAAAGCAGTAATGTACGATAGCAGCTGGGAGGCAGGAGCCTGGGAAATTCAAATGGCCTCCTGGCCTAGCTCAAGCCTCCCGATGCTGGGCCACCCCCGCTGCCGCCGCATCCCTTTCCTGAACCGTTGGTGCGAAAGAGCTACAAAGAAGCAGCCTCTTCGCCTCCAATGGTTTGAATTTCCTGCCCTTTTCCCCTGCCTTTTTTTGTTTGTAGGTCAAAGCTCCGTTCGCAAGTCAAAGCAAAATTTTG